GTACCACAGTGCATCTCAGCAATCACATTAGCAGTAGAAGTAGCAGTAGTAGTAGTAGTAGTAGTAGTAGTAGTAGTAGTAGTAGTAGTAGTAGTAGTAGTAGTAGTAGTAGTAGTAGTAGTAGTAGTAGTAGTAGTAGTAGTAGTAGTTGTTGTAGTAGTAGTAGTAGTAGTAGTAGCACCAATAGTAGCAGCAGCAGCAGCAGTAGTAGCAGTAGCAGCAGAAGTAGAAGTAGTAGTGTAAAGGACGGGCGGACGGGCTATAGATCCAGGACTCAGATGGAGGGGGTTCAAAGGTCCCGTTGTCAGGTCATGAAACAGACAATGGGACGACTGGTGAATAACAGACTACAGTCCAAATCCTTGGAGTTTAGACTTCCCTGAGTCTTACCTTCCTAACCATTTGCCTAACTGAAGACAACTGTTTTAAGCCTAGCCTAGAACGTAGGGTTGAAGATGCAGCGAACCGGGTTTGATACGTCTGATTTGGTTAATTCCATGCTTTTTAATTATGTTTCCTAACGGCAGCATGTAGAGTGTGAAAAGAATCTGTCCGAGAACCGATCCTTGGGGCACACCGAATTCCGTGACGAGTTCTGATTCACATTGACAAAGTGATACCGATCTGATAAATAGGATATAAACCAGCCAAAGCTTTTTCCTCTAAGACCTATATCACATTCTAGCCTCTGCAGTAGAATGCTGTGGTCTATTGTGTCAAATGCAGCACTAAGGTCCAGTAGGGCTAGCCTGGCTCTGCCAGACCCTTGTAGTTCCGCCATGCTCCACCAGAGGCGTTTGGCTGAACCACATGGGTCTGGTATCGACGCCATAGCGAACGCCTTCCCCAGATTATTTTTTAATCGACCAATCAGGATTGCCTGTGTTACGTGGGGTTTGCACTGCCTTCTCAAGCTTCTCTCATGCAGCAGCGAGAGGAATCCAAGATGGCGGACGTAAAGTCCGCGAATCTTTTTAAAAGAGTAAATACGATCAAATTAAGACACGGATGTCACTTTTAATGCAATTTGAGGCGAGATGTAGATGGTTCTATGTTGATATATGTGTGTTTTAACACTAGAAAACCCAAGCGAAATTGGCCCCTGTTTTGAGAAGAAGGAGCTAACTTGCTAGGTTGGCTGCTAACATTTGCATGTATTGATTTGCAAATGTAGGTAATGACTTATAACAGCAGGGGGCTGGGGTGGGCTTTGTTTATTCGTGCGGGGGAGGGAGAGCTGCAAGAGAGTACTACAGTAGTCTGTGAGACCACAGATACACATGTGGACAATGCAGAAGAGATGCCATGGCAGTGCTGTGTACCCTGAGAATGCGCTGTATATATTTTGTAATCAGTTTTTCTCAGTGTCTTTGGTGCATTTTTCACATAATTCTTCACATTTTAACAACAGTTAGTGCATTTCTCAGAACAATGAGTGCAAACTGCAAAACCTCATGGATAACCTGCTAAAAAGTCACTTTCTCAAAATGAACTTAATTCCTCAAAAGAAAGTCTTCATGTCAATGAAACGGTCTGTGTCTCAAAAGAATAAGTCCTGACACCAGTGTTTATGAACAACAGTCAAATGATTTAGTCATGTTTTCATTGTGACTGTATTTAGTGATACATATGTATGTACTGTATGTTCACATATTTACTGCTTATGCTCTTTGCAATTCTACAGCATTCTGCAACAAAAATAGTACACATACAGTATTTACGTAGAAAAACAAAAATACAAAAAATCATTACGGTAGAACCTCCACAACATTGAGTCGTGTGTGACATCATCGCGGCAGTTCAACCTGGAGAGACTACAAGAGACGAGATGCGTTTAAGAGTTGTTTATTTTATGGATTGAGTTTGTTTATTGGTTTGGAGCTTAGGCCCCGGCTGTGGCCGTGCTCTGAAGAGATCTGCGCCTGGGTGCAGATCATGATCCCCCGGGGCCTAGACACTGGTGGTGGCAACAAGGCAAGGTGAATGTGAGAGTGAAGAAATCCTGAGGCGGAGGTGGGGAGGAGGTGGTTGCAGCTTGAAGTCCGTTTGGTGAGCTGTGCTCTGCTTTGCTCTTAAACGCTGGCTTGATTGACACGGCTGCGGGGAGTTGATTAAGACAGGCTGAGTAAGGCGTGGTCAAGCCTGGTGTGATAACGTAGGTAGTCTACCATCCTGAACCTCCGCTTCAGCTGCATTTTCTCCTTTGAACACTTTACAAATGCTTTTGGACATGTATCAGTTACTTTCATACAGTTCTCTGCTGTTTTATAACATTATCATTTGCTTCTGTCCTGTCAATCAGAATGAAACATACTTATCACGACTGAATAGTTTCTGTAAAACCAGTAGTCCTCATTTCATCGCTTTGGTCATCACATACAAAACTGTTCAAAACCAAAATCTGTCAAACTAATTTCATACATTACTTTATCTTTTTATATCCAGAAAATCTTTCCTAATTTTCGAATTTCAGCTTCACTCATGACGAGGTGTGTGTTTTATTGTTTACATTTGTCACAGTTCTACCATAATGATATTCTGTATGTTTGCTCTATGTATGTGACTGTATTTCTGTTGCACAATGCTGTAGAATTGCAAAGAGCATATGCAGTAAATATGTGAAAGACATACAGTACACAGACATACATCGAAACACATACATGCACAAACACACACACACACAGTAAATACATACATGCACAAACACACACACACATACAGTACATACAGTATAAATGTTCTTTTACTCTCACTAAATACAGTTGTGTGTAACTTGACTGTAGTTTTCAGCTGTACAGTGCTCACCAAGATCAGATTTTTTGCTTTGAAAACACAGAGAGTAAAGTGTCACAATGAAAACGTGACGAAGTCATTTGACTGTGTTGTTCATACTCCATGTTGTTAAGACTTATTATTTTGAGAGACAGACAGTTTCCTCGACATGAAGACTTGCTTTTGAGGAATAAACTTTTCATTTTGAGAAGGTGATGCACTTTTGCAGGTTATCCCCAAGGTTTTGCAGTTTGTACTAATTGTTCTGAGAAATGCACTAACTGTCGTGCAAATGTGAAGAATAATGTGATAAATGCACCAAAGACACTGAGAAAAACTGTAAGTAGCATATTTATTTTGTAAACAATGTAAATTTATACATTGAATGATGTTGCTCGTTTGTTTTCTTTCAATTCACTTTAGTTAAAAAATAATAAAGTCAGCATGACACTAGATTTAACTCATTTTAACTAATCATATCCTCCCTCTCCCGAAGAAGACAAAGTAAAGTGGTTGAGTAACTTCAGCTCAGCCTGTGATAATGGCCTTATTTACATAACAAAGTTGGCCGTTCACAGGTGATTTAGTTTGTTAGCTAAAATCCTTGGAGTCATTTGGCTTTTTAGGTAGAAGTGCCAAATGGCACCTCCATGGGTTTGCTAGTGTTAAGAGTCAAATGTTCCTGTAAAGTTTGGTTGAAGCACTGGTTCAGTGTTCCTGTTTACACACTATGCAGCAGGGTTGCCAGGTTTGGTGGTTCCCGCATATTTTTTTCCAAGAGACTTGTAGGTATTAAATAAACAGAAAGACAATAACCAGAATCATGATAGCCCGAGTTGATTACATTACGTTTGGTTTTTCTTTTTGGGTATTCTCGCGATTTTGGGTCGGAAAATCTTGCTGGGATTTGGCAACCTATGGGAGCCGTGTGCTTCCATGTGAGTGGTTGAAAGCAGACTTCATTCAAGATAACGGAGAAGTGGTCTAGCCAATCACATACAAGGATTTTTTTTACAAGGCCCTGCCTTCTGAAATCCAACCACTATGGCTCAGTACCAGACTCATGTGTGAAGTGCAGCGAACTACATGGGTCTGGCGAGAGTCAGGCTACAGTAGGACCAGCACTGACACTTGTCCATTATCAGCACTCAGCACCATAAGAGCTGCAGATCATGTCCCAGTCTGTGCTTTGGAAACGGTCTCTCCGTCCGTCAAACGTCCATCACACGTCCATCACACGTCCGTCATACGTCCATCACACGTCCGTCACACGTCCATCACACGTCCGTCACACGTCCGTCACACGTCCATCACACGTCCGTCACACGTCCATCACACGTCCGTCACACGTCCGTCATACGTCCGTCACACGTCCGTCATACGTCCATCACACGTCCGTCACACGTCCGTCACACGTCCATCACACGTCCGTCACACGTCCATCACACGTCCGTCATACGTCCATCACACGTCCGTCACACGTCCATCACACGTCCGTCACACGTCCGTCATACGTCCGTCACACGTCCGTCATACGTCCATCACACGTCTGTCACACGTCCGTCACACGTCCATCACACGTCTGTCACACGTCCGTCACACGTCCATCACACGTCCGTCACACGTCCCTCACACGTCCGTCACACGTCCATCACACGTCCGTCACACGTCCGTCACACGTCCGTCACACGTCCGTCACACGTCCATCACACGTCCGTCATACGTCCATCACACGTCCATCACACGTCCGTCACACGTCCGTCACACGTCCATCACACGTCCGTCACACGTCCATCACACGTCCGTCACACGTCCCTCACACGTCCGTCACACGTCCATCACACGTCCATCACACGTCCGTCACACGTCCGTCATACGTCCATCACACGTCCGTCACACGTCCATCACACGTCCATCACACGTCCGTCACACGTCCATCACACGTCCGTCACACGTCCCTCACACGTCCGTCATACGTCCATCACACGTCTGTCACACGTCCGTCACACGTCCATCACACGTCTGTCACACGTCCGTCACACGTCCATCACACGTCCGTCACACGTCCCTCACACGTCCGTCACACGTCCATCACACGTCCGTCACACGTCCGTCACACGTCCGTCACACGTCCGTCACACGTCCATCACACGTCCGTCACACGTCCGTCACACGTCCGTCACACGTCCGTCACACGTCCGTCACACGTCCGTCACACGTCCGCCACA